TAATCTTAGATGTCATTTGAACTTGAATTCATATCTGATTTGCATAACAGCAAAATTACATGACATTTTTGTCATCTGTGAATTTTGCAGCAAACAAAAGTGATTAAAAATAGATAAAAGAATATTCATATTAAAATAGAGTTATACCATTACATGAGTTTAATAGAATAGAATAGAATAGAATAGAATAGAATAGAATAGAATAGAATAGAATAGAATAGAATAGAATAGAATAGAATAGACCTCTATTTGGTTGCACTCTACATTGTAAACTTTGACTGCTTGTCTAATGGCGAGTTCAGACTGCATGATTTTCAAAGTAGTGGCATCACTGATGTTTTCACACTGCATCACCATCTGGGCTAGCGTTTTGTTGCTGCTTTGTTTACACTGCAAGATGGATTGGCGACAGGGGCTTTCAGATTGCATGACTTTACAATAGGAAAAATCGCCGACAACTTCGTCCAAACTACGTCTCACAGCCAAAACCACATAGTAGGCCTATATATTTTGTTATTAACTACATAACGAGAAAGAAGCCTTTAATGGGGTAGAAAATGTATACATATTTGCTCCCCTGGGTTTGAAGGGAATTAGCAATTTCTCCTCAACTTGCTTTTTTAACTTTCCGTATGAAAACTTTCCTCCACTAGTTTTTCCTCCATTTCTTTGGTCCAAATAAACCAAAAATAAATGCTTTTAACTTCTCCCTCAACCTCCCGCTGGCCTGCAGGTACACACACACACACACACACACAAAAGTGAATGTTGCTCTCTCATTGGCTGTCGGCTATCGCTGATGTTATTTTCAGTCAAAACTCATTTCACACAGCATGATTTGAGTCTGCTTCGGTGACTCATCTGCGATTCTTTCAGATCACGTGTCTGATAGTTCATACTGTGTGATAGTCACTCACATGCATGTGCAGCGATTTGCCTGTGATTTCAGGCATTTGTCGCCGATTTCTCAAAACCTGTCAGCGAGTCAAAATCGAGGCTAAAATCCTTCAGTCTGAACTCGGCATAAGAGGTACATTTACTGCCGGTGGAATTATCTACTGTATATATTCATTATTTTCCTTCAGCTTAGTCCCTTATTTATCAGGAGTCGCCACAGCTGAATTAACCGCCAATTATTGCAGCAGTTTTTACAGCTTCCCTTCCAGCCACAACCCAGTACTGGGAAACACCCACAATCAAAAAAAGTTTCTTTACTTGTTCAAACTACTTAATTAAAATGAGCTAAAACAACACAATTCTTCACATTTCATTGGGACAACTAAATTTGTTAAAAGTGTAAAGTTAACTTCATCAATTTGTGTTGGAACAACATGAATGAGTTGTGTGGAACCCTGAATTTTTTACAGTGCGTACACTCTCACATTCACACACACACACACACACACACTCAGACACTATGGCTAATTTAGTTTATTCAATTCACCTATACTTCACATAATTGAACTTGTGGGGGAAAGAGCACCCGGAGGAAACTCAAACGAACACGGGGAGAACATGCAAACTCCACACAGAAATGCCAACTGACCCAGCCAGGACTAAAACCAGCGACCTTCTTGATGTGCCGCCCAAAATATTTATAATACATTAACTATTTTTTAAAATATATATATTTTAAGGTCAATATTATTAGCCCCATTAAGACATTTTTTTTATTTTTTTATTTGGCTACAGAACAAACCACAGTTGTACAACAATGACTCGCCAAATAACCAAACTTGTCTAATTAACCTAATGAACATTTGTGCTTTTAAAAAGCATTTTAAGTGGAATACAATATTGAAACAAGTCAAATATTATGTACTGTCATTATGGCAAACACAAAAGAAATTAAATAATTAACTATTAAAAATATTGTTTATAGGGTGACACGGTGGCTCAGTGGTTAGCACTGTCGCCTCACAGCAAGAAGGATGCTGGTTCGAGTTGGCATTTCTGTGTGGCGCATGTTCTCCCCGTGTTTGTCGTGGGTTTCCTCCGGGTGCTCTGGTTTCCCCCACAGTCCAAAGTATGTATGGGTGTTTCCCAATACTGGGTTGCAGCTGGAAGGGCATCTGCTGTGTAAAACATATGTTGGATAAGTTGTCGGTTAATTTTGCTGTGGCAACCCCTGATGAATAAAGTGGCTAAGCCGAAGAAAAATTAATTAATGAATTATTTACAAATTAATTGATAAAATCTCTCCATTAAACAGGAAATCATTTGAAAAGAATTTAAATTTTAAAGAGAGCTACCAATTTTGCCTTCAGTTAGATACATTAATTCTAATTATCTATTTAAGGTTTTGTTATTAGTTTATTTATATAGCATAAATGTCAGTTTCTCTACTTTTTAATGGACTGTAGGCCAGCGTCAGGGCTCTTCGTCCTCCTTTGCTGCTACACCTGACCCTTTTTTATGATCAATAGCCATAAATGAGTGGATTTAGCCATATGATCATGAATCTCCAGCGGACAGCAGTGTTTCTAGCTTGTCTGGGTGACATTCATCATTCCCTGCGCTGTGACAACTCCTGACGCGTGTGACACACATCTCACTTCACCTGCCCAGTCCAGCACATTACCTGCAGTGTTTGAAAGGATCTGACCGCACATTGACACTCAGACAAACCAGCAGAGCTCATCACTCAAGCCTTGTGCTGCAGCTGCTGAAACTCTACATCACAACAAACAAAACATAAGAGTTATACTAACTATACAAATCATGTCAAAATAATATGCACTCGCTCATACAAGTTCAAGTTCAATTTGACTAATTGGCATGATATTTTGTATGGTATTGTGGAACCATTAAGTTATACTCGAATCATCAAGTTATTTGAAATTAAATAAACATCATTTGAGAAATAACTCAATACTAGTACCGGGTTGGACTGACTTTTGCCTTCAGAACTGCTTTAATCCTTCATGGCATAGGTACAACAAGGTACTGGAAATATTCCTCAGAGATTTTGGTCCGTATTGACATGATAGCATCACACAGTTGCTGCTGATTTGTCGGCTGCTCATCCATGATACGAATCTCCCGTTTCACCACATCCCAAAGATGCTCTATTGGATTGAGTTCTGGTGATTATGGAGGCCATTTGAGTACAGTGAACTCATTGTCATGTTCAAGAAACCAGTCTGAGATGATTCACACTTTATGAAGTAGCCATCAGAAGCCAAGAAAAAATCTCCCACACTATTACATCACCACCACCAGCCTGAACCACTGATACAAGGCAGGATGGATTCATGCTTTCATGTTGTTGACGCCAAATTCTGACTACCATCTGAATGTCACAGCAATCGAGACTCATCAGACCAGGCAATGTTTGTCCAATCTTCCATTGTCCAATTTTGATGAGCCTGTGCCAATTGTAGCCTCAGTTTCCTGTTCTTAGCTGACAGGAGGTGTGGTCTTCTGCTGCTGTAGCCCATCCGCCTCAAGGTTGGACGTGTTGCATGTTCAGAGAAGCTCTTCTGCTTGCCTCAATTGTAATGAGTGCTTATTTGAGTTACTGTTGCATTTCTATCAGCTGGAACCAGTCCGGCCATTTTTCTCTGGCATGAACAAAGCATTTGTGCCCACAGAACTGCCGCTCACTGAATATTTTCTCTTTTTCAGACCATTCTCTGTAAACCCTAGAAATAGTTGTGTGTGAAAATCCCAGTAGATCAGCAGTTTCTGAAATACTCAGACCAGCCCGTCTGGCACCAACAACCATGCCACGTTCAAAGTCACTTAAATCACCTTTCTTTTCCATTCCGATGCTCGGTTTGAACTGCAGCAGATCGTCTTGACCATGTCTACATGCCTAAATACATTGAGTTGCTGCCATGTGATTGGCTGATTAGAAATTTGCATTAATGAGCGGTGCCCGCTGAGTCTACAGGCTTAACTAGGTTAGCTAGGCAAGTTAGGTTAATTAGGCATGTGATTGACAACAGTGACAAATCAGTAGCTAATCAAAAAAAAAAAAAAAAATCTGGAGAAAAAAACTATTTTAGAAATAACTGTGAAATTTTTTACTTGCTCCAATAAATTTATATATAAATTTAGCATATATAAAATGCTAAATACTACTATAATACAGATAGGAATAGATATTTTGTTATTTTTATGAATAACATAATGGTGAAAAGTTAATCAGTCCACTAATAATAATAATAATAATAATAATAATAATAATAATAATAATAATAATAATAATAATAAACTAGTTGTATTTAATAAGAATGGCAAATACTACTACTACTACTACTACTACTACTAACAATAATAATAATTAGTTTAATTTAATACAATTACTCGGCTATTATTATTATTATCATCATCATCATCATCATCACTATCATCATCTTTATTATTATTATTATTATTATCATCCTTATTATTATTATTATTATTATTATTTTAACTACAAAATTAATACAGAAAAAATGATGATTATTCTTATTAGCTGACAGATTAACTTTCCACCATTTATTATCATTATTATTAGTAGTAGCCTAAAAGTATATCAAGTCTGTTTTAATCCACATATTAAGACATCCTATAGACATTTGGAGAGTATGACATAATTGATTAATATGTTTGCTTATATTAATAGGTTTGTTTAACTGATTTGCTAATAACAACAAATGATTAACCTAAAGCTTGCTTATATGTATTTTTAAATATAGGGCAATATAAAATGTGTTTTAAATAGGCCTGCTTAGTGTTTACTAACAGGCCGGTTGCATGTTTGATTTAATAATAGCAACATAATTGACATATGAGTTTTGAATTAGGCTATATTGCAAAGAATTAGCTATAAACCTGTAAAATAGACTATGAAACGATGTTACTAAATTAAATAGTGTATGATATTATTTGATTATATTTAAATGATCAAAGTGCAGATAAACAAGCTTTATTATAACTTCTTGTGAAGTGATGTGATTTCTGATCTGCCTTGAACGCGCTGTCTAATCTGCGCATGCGCGAGGTTTATGCTGCGTGTTGTAGTGTCATTGCTAACAGGCTAAGTTCTGCTGCTCGCATCTCTCGTAATAAACATTTTATCCGCGTTTCCTTGCCTTTTAACGATTTCAAACTGCACGGACAATGGCTGATCCAAGAATACGACAAATAAAAATCAAGACGGGTGTGGTGAAACGGTAAGCAGACAGAACGGTCTTATTTTATGTACTAATGTCTTTAGGGTAAGGCCGCGGATTCGCCGCGGCACACGACAAACAGTCGCCGCAAATGCGCGCCCTACTGCTGCAGAATCTGTAACTCTAGTCCAGGGCTCTGACAGCTGCTGGGGGTTTAGCCAGATGTCAAGTTCACTTCTCCAGTCACTTTCAGTGCCGTGAAAACTATTGAAATGCAATTCATTACGGTTATTACAGGTTGATATTTGTGCATGGGATTAATTTGTTGTTACAAAACATAAGTACACATCAAAATGAGGTGTTGAATGAAGAATCTGAGGTGAGCAAATGCCCTGTGCAATACATATTTCTATACACTGTCAAGCTAGAAGGTGATTAATTTATTTATTTAGTGTTAATATTTAACTTTTTTTTTTTTTTTAGGAGTGACTATATGTAGTTAAATGTAGGAAATTTATATGACAAATATGCTTAGTTGTTTTTAAATGTTATTCCTTTAAGTTTTTTGTGTTGTTGTGTTTTTGGCGTTTATTTGTAATATTAAAATAGTTTTTTATTTTTCATTTTAGTTTTAAACGTTTAGGTATATTTCCTTGATTTTGTTTCTCAATCAAGTTATTTAATCAGAATCATTTTGTTTTATGGTTGATGTCAGATGTGGTTTCACAAACAGACACGCACACACACACACACACACACACACACACACACACACATTTATAGATAATTTATTTAACAAATAATTGGTGCAGACTTAAAAAAAAAAAAAAAGATTTATACAGGATAATAACTGTATACATAATGTAGGCATGGGCCGGTTTAAGATTTTGGCAGTATGATAACCTTGGATTAAAATATTACGGTTTCATTGTATTTTGGTTACTGCTCCTAAATATCTGGGGGGAAAAGCAAAAAAAAAAACTTTTTCCCCTTTGAACACAATCTGATTTATTAAAAAAAAAACATTTAAAGTTTTTGGAGCAGGAAACATGTCAGTCTAAATAATTCAAACAAAACATTGACTTCTGCTGTCTTCACTAGTTTAAAAAAACACAGATTTCTTTACAATTTAAAATGCAATATTTGCATATCTTTTCTGCTGGAGATACTGTTTTCCTAAAAAATGGAAAAGAAAACAATCTTACATATTCCGTAGAAATGGTATAGCAGAACATTTGGCTGTTTTAAAACTTTTTCCAAACAAAACATGAGTGAAAATCAGGCCTATAATTATGTAGTGTGAACTCAGCCAAAGTCACTTCAAGGCTATTTATTTTACTATGTGTCCATCTTTAAAGCACCTCTTGGTCAGTATATTTGGGCATTCTGTTTGAATGGGGAAGCATCAAATTCTTTAAAGGGTCACGAAACACCAAAACACATTTTTTGAGCTGTTGACAGTCGTATATGTGTCCCACACTGCTAAAAACACTATTAGGACACCTATATTTCACTAAAAAGTGTAAATTGGTTGTTTTTGCGTTATTTCAAGCAAATTCGTACTTCCTGTTTGAAACGAATTTTTGAAGCATGATAGCATGACATAATAGCGTTGTTTTCCAGCGTGCAGACTGGGCGTCTGTGCCAGAGTGAGTCTTATTACGTCTTACAGTGTGTTGCATTAATGCATGAGTAAGGCTTGGTTCAAACCAATCAGCACGCTCTATTGTGCAACTTCATTAATATTCATTACTGTCACAGTGTAGACGGCAAAGACGCCAAGTGTTGCTTTTATAGTTTGCTGCAGTTAAGTTTCGTTTTCATTTTCTCTCTGTGAGAGCGCAGACTCACGCGTGGATTAACAGTGTACGCGAAGCGCGACAACAATAACTTACGTGTCTAAGGAGGATTATTGTTTACCTGAGAGCTGTTCTGATCTGCAAACGCTGAGATTGTAGTCTCCTCTAAATAAAGACGCGGCTGTAGTTGCTGGTGATTGTCCTGTCTCTACAGATTTGGTAAGTGAGCGACCAGTGCTCTTTGTTTATTCAGTTCGTATTTTATTCGTATCAAACAAACTATTGCACCGAGTGCAATAGTTAGCACTAACAGTTACAACCAAACTATAACCTCGTGTTGGATTTTGTGACCGGAATAACACACGCGGCTTTCTGACGCTACCTGCCATGTGTATCTAAGTTTCCGGGAAATGCAGAGTTTTTTTTTCTCTCATTCGCCGTGCGGTATCAAACATTGCATGAAAAATACACGCTTAGAGCTGTTCCTCGAATCAAATATCACGTTTGTCGGGAGGGACATGAATGAATTCCCTGAATGAAAGAGCCAAACTGCAGTTAAAGTCCACCATTTAATAATTTGGCAAATAATTAGACTACTGATGTCAATGTAAACACAGTCACATTGTCCGCTGTGGGTGTGTGTTTTGACTCTGAAATTCAGCGCGCCCAAATAGACACTCCAATACCAAGCCGCTTTTCTTTCTCCGACACTCCCCCCTAAACAGAGCTGGACACGCCCACTTTTCTGACTTTTTCCAAAGTAGAGGTGTGAAAACACACTGCTGAAACAAGGGGGTTTCATGGCCCTTTAAGACTGCTTGCCAAGCTTACGATTAAATTTTATATAAGAAGCATACCTGCCAACATTGGGATGTGAAAAGGGATATGCCCACCATAATAAGGGACCCCCCCCCCCCCCCCCCCCATTATCAAAGTTATCAAATCTCATTAACCGTTTCTTCACTGTATAACTCTTTCTCTGGAGATAAACCCTGGAGTGGTTCGATTGCAGTGAGAAAGCGATCCGATTCAAGCACGGTTATATCACAGTGTTTTATGGATATGTAATAGGCTTACGGCTATATGAGGAGAGAATTTTGAGTAGGGTGGGAAGTTTCGCGAATCTCCGGATGCCCGCAAACGAGTGATGATCTCCCAGTAATCTCGCGTCTCCCTCCCGGTACTCAAATAGGCATCGCCGTGCACCCTTCTCACCCCTCCCCACCGCATCTCTCCTCAGACACGTTGCGCGCGCACCTTGTCAATCACCACCAAACCACCACCTCTCCTGACAGCTGGGCGGGACACTGCAAAATAAACCCTGACACTCTGACCAATGTGAGGAGAGTTTACTCGCACGTGACTTGTTTTAGCTCTTTTGATCCGATTAGAAACTTTGCAGTGTGAAAGAGAACCGCTCCAAGAGCAACAATGTAACATTTGTAATCTCTGTTTCGGAACAACTGAATCGATTCACAGGTGTGAAAGCACCCTCAGTTTACCCAACTATGATGTCTGAGAAACCCTGAAATGTGAATGATTCATAGGTCTAAAATCAAACTTTGATTGAAGATAACCAAAGCAAACTTTTACTTTTTTGTGGATTAATTTACGCAGATTAATTAATCAATTTTAGAATAACAATGTGAGCTAGCAAAATAAACATTGTAAATTTTGATCAATACATATGATCACATTGGCATTGATTGATTTTGGCCTGTGCCAGGAACAGTCCCTAGAAAAACCACGATCATAGAAGCGCTTAATGAATGTTAGAATAGTATTAAAGTTGGTCATTTGTGTTCTGCGAGTGTCTCTGATCTCACCTCATCCCCTCCCTCTCTCGCTGCTCTCCTCAATCCCCATCTGACTGCTGTTTGCATTGATTGACCAGATGAGGGCCTGATTGAGATGGGCCTGTTTGATAGGGCTGGTAATGGAAGTGTGGGAATGATTCTCAGTGGGATTGAGAAAGGGAGAGGGTTAGGAAACAACTCGCACACCATGCCAACACAGGAGACAACATCGTAATGAGCCGCACCGCCATAAGAACCCAACGCTGGCCTGTCAAACTCAGCTGATGTTCACATGAGGGACCAATCACGGCTTGGTGTCTGAATTCATTTATGCTGAATTTGCTTATTGCGTGGGCACGGTTGGTGTCGATTGATGGTTTTATGATGGAACATTCCCGCTGTCAGGCCCAGCGCCGGCAGACACGGTGTTCGTGTCTCGCAGACATGTTTCTTCTGGATTTCCCATCAGTTTTTTTCTCGCTCTCTGTGTGGACGGTCCAGCCATGGTATCGATTCGAGCGAGTTGCTTTGTTTTCTTTCAGCTGGGTCTTTAGGTCCTATAGATTTGTCTCCGATTCCTCTCCCCATGCGAGCGCAGGCCTCTGCGGTTCACTCAGACCGGGGCTTCTCAGCTCCAGGTCAGATAATTGATTTTGTCCACCTTTGAACGCCGTATTGCTGAATTGCATTTCTTCATTTGTCAGGCCCATGAGATGTTGGACTGCTTGATGGTCACATGGTTTACTCATTGCAAGTCTGTTTGTATGTTTACTCCATCTTAGTCTCTTCACTTGTTTTTCAGTGAATGCTGATGGGTAGTTGACAAATAGGTAGTTAAAAAAAAAAAAGAATTGCATTATGGGATGTGGATCTTGGCTTTGTTGACATTTGATGATGAAAATTCAACTGTGCAAACAACAAAGTGACTATAACTAAACTTTTAGTAGTTTGACTTTGAAGTAGGGCTGCACAATATATCGTTTTAGCTGCATTTATATTGCAATATGCGCTCCTGCAATAGTCACATCGCGAAGATGTGTAATGTTGAATCTGAATTATAGTTGACCAGGAGCTAGAAGTGTATTTATTCACTGTATTTACAGTATATGGAATTTATGCGATTTTATGCAAAAAACAAAACAAAACAAAAAAAAACAGTTCTTACTGAGAGTTTTAGTCTTGTTTGTTTCTAGTCCAAATATCTACCTTTCAAAACTAAATCAAGATCATTTATTACTTGCCCTACTGGCAGATAATTTAGCTTTTTTGAAGGAAAACGTTTTGTGTTATTTCTTCTGACGGTAAAAACAAAACAATATTTTACTTGCTCTAAGAATGTTTTGTTATTAATTTAGATTAGAAATGAGACAAAACAAAGTAATGAAAGCATTGTTTGCATTGATTTTATTTAATTTCTGTACCTGAATATGGTTAAACTCCACAGAAAACCATCTCCTAAAATCTC